ATATATATATATATATATATATATATATGTATGTATGTATATATATGCGTAAGGGACAAAGAGAGAAAGAATTAAATAAGATGGAATCAGAATAATGAGCAATTTTAATACAAAGCAAATAACTAGACTATTTATACACTAAGAAGAAGCAGAAGATGCGGCAAACAAATGGAGAACCACAAAGCTCGGAGAGGATGTGTAAGAGAAGACCATGTTGCATGCGCGTATGTGGTTGTGTATGACATGGTCTTAATGAATTTGGACCACAAAAATATTATGGTTTAACATAAAGTTTAATGATAAATCAAATGAGGTGAGATGTTGTTGTTGTTGTTGTTAATGATCAAGTTTGCATTGTTGATGAAGATGGTGATGTCGGCAGTCTGTATTAATTATATAAGTTAATGCTTTAATGTTGTTAAGACTTAAGTAGTATTAGTAGTGTTTATGGATTAAGTAATCAATGTAGTAGAATGTTAAGGAGTTAGGTTAGTAAAGAGAATACCTACGTTTGAATCTTGTTGAGGATTAGTTGGGCAAAAAGAAGTCTAGGGTTCAAATCCCCCTTTTTACATTTTAGTTATTTTAGTCCCAACTTTTATATTATGATCTTGGGTGGATTAATGAGGTGTTAATAGCCTGTATTTGATAATGATTATGGCAAAGGAAGTTGGGATTAAGTGAAGTAGTTATGGTTTAATAAAGACAAGGAAAGAAGTACTAAAAGAATGATATTAAGATATAGTCTAATGCTATTATTGTTAATAATAATAGTATGGGTAATGAAAGAGAATCGGTTGATCTACAGGTTCCTCGTTAAAGTGGTTAGCTCGGGAGTGAGCTCAAGAATCAAGTACTTGGCTTTGGAGCACGATTAAAGGTATAACCCATGGACTCCCAAAGCTATTTCTATACTCTGTGAAGTCTATTTTTGAGTAGAAATGAGTAGAAATGCTAATTTATTGAAGTGTTTGAGCTATTAAGTGATCTATTATTGAGTTATGCTGTGTTGTTGATATTTTGGAAGTTTTGGAATGTTTGAGAAAATTATTGCAGGTGAAAGGAGTCCACTGGTGCACCAGACAGTGTGCACTAGTAGAAATCACGGACCTGACCAATGACCCTCAAGGGAGGCCGTTGGCCAGCCCCGTGGTTAGCCGGCTCTAGGGGGCGGCCCTAGGAGAGGGCCGTTTCCCTGAGCCGTGCAAGTGACGGGCCAAGGGGTGGAACTCGTCAAGTTCTGCCAAGAACCCCGTTAAGTAGAACCTGTGTAGTGGCCGGGCCCTTGTGGGTCAGTTACGTGTCATTTCGGACCAGGAGTCGCGAGCCCTTGTGGGTCGGAACCTCGGGGTCGTCTTGACGCACGTTTAGACTTTGATTTCGTTGAATTTGGTGAAGAAATGAGCTCTTAGTGTTAGTTTTTGTAAAGAAAATTACTACAAAAGTTGTTCCAGTGAATGAAAATGAGAAGTATTAGTGTTTGTTTATCTATCTGAAAAGCATGTTATTATCTGATAGAGAAGCATGAACATTATTTGTTAAAGTCTTGCTAGAAAAGCATGCCTAAAGTGTATATTATGATTTATTGAGATTTTTGCCAAGTTCCTAAATGTTGAAGTTTACAGAGCATGAATTCCCTGAATACTATTACACAATGAATGAGCATAAATTGAGTACTTTGAGTTTTAAGTGCATGTTAAATACTTGCTAAGTGTTTGTTGAGAAGATTTTCCAAGTTATGATTTACAAGCATGATTTTAAGTGTTCTTTGAGAGTTCACAGTAACTTGGAATTGAAGCATGTTTACAGTAAATTGCATTTTGAGCATATCATGTTTTAAAAGTGCATAAGTGGTCAACGTGAGTCTAAGTATTATTTCCAAGAACTCATATCCATTTTGGAAAGTCATTATCTTGTCATATTAAGAATTTGCTGAGAAGTTATGTGCATATTTGCATAAGTAAAGTGCTGCATGATTCGAGTTGCATGAGTGATATCTATATGTATATATTGTGAGGAAAATCTTGTTTTGGAGGACCCGTTGGGACTATATATGTACTTTCGGAGTAAAGGTGAAAGAAACGGACATTGCGATCCGATATCATGTAATGCGGGGTATTCCCACGTTACGAGGTTGGAAACTACCCGCCAGGCTTGGAATCCTGGTCAGGGGGTGTGCACACTGATAGTTCGATACCTGATTCCACAGAGTTTGAGTTTTGGAACCACGAGATTGGTTCTGTGGGAGGGATGAGAGATTGGCCGGCTAGATGCCGAACCCAATAGGTTCATTCACATTATGGTGAAGTCCTACCTCGCCCACGAGTAAAGAGAAAGCAAGTCATCACGACTCTAAGAAAGCAAGTCATTGCGACTCTAAGGAAGCGAGTCATTACGACTCTAAGAAAACGTGCCATCACGACTCTAAGAAAGCGAGTCATTTTTTGCTCTAAGAAACCTCCACAGAAAAAGTATTCTTTTTACAAAAGAGTGTATATGTATATCTATACTTATACTATAGCATCATCTTATGAGTTATATGTCTTGCACGAGATTGCATGACTAGTAGTAGATAGCATGAGATTGCTTATGAGTTATATGCCTTGCACGAGATTGCATGACTAGTAGTAGATAGCATGAGATTGCTTATGAGTTATATGCCTTGCACGAGATTGCATGATTAGTAGTTAATAGCACGAGATTGCATGATTAGTAGTTAATAGCACGAGATTGCATGATTAGTAGTTAATAGCACGAGATTGCTTATAAGTTATATGTCTTGTACGAGATTGCATGATTAGTAGTTGATAGCACAAGATTGCTTATGAGTTATATACCTTGCACGACATTGCATGATTAGTATTTAATAGCATGAGTTTGCTTTATGTGTTATTTGATAGCATGAGATTGCTTATTTGATTATATGAGAAAACATGAGATTGTTGAGTACTTGAGAAAGCTTTAGATTTGTTTACAAGTTTTGAAACTGTGAAGTGATGTTCGTTGTATAAGCATGCCTATTCGTTAACTAGGTTGCAAGCATCTAGAAGTTAATGCCAAAGTATGATTTAAGTGATTAAGTTGCTTGATCTAAGAATGTGGAACAAATGTTTTCCAAAAGTATATATTGTATTACTTTACAGGGTTGAGTGGCGTTATACTTAGCTTCGTGCTAACGGTTTTTTTTTTCTACTTGTTGTGTGTTAACCCCTTTCAGGTGGGCCTAGTTCGTAAGAACGAGAAAACATGTTAGACTAGTTTAGCTTAGATAGCTTTGTAGTCTAAACCCTTATGTTATTTTGGATTTGTAGTTGACTACTTTCTTTTGTTGGTGTTGAACATCGGGGCTTGGTTCCCCAAGTTTGGTTGTAGTACTTTGAGCTTGACTCTTTTAGATTCCTTTTGTAGCATGTGCAGTCACCGTGGGCGGTGATTGTGGCGGTGACACCTCTTTATGTTTATTTAGTTGTTTTAATCCGCTACTTTAACTTATCTTCAAAGGTTTAGTTTGTTAATTAAGTTTAAGAAAAGTGGGGTGTTACAGTTCTTTGGTAGCAAATGTTAACCCTTTGCAGAATATAGGGTTTGTCATTTCAGTTGGTCTAAAAATGGGCCATTTACTCTCTTCTTTCTCACCATCACTCACAGGGTCCTCATATGATAAATTAACTCAATCATCACCTCCATTAGTAGCATGCAGGCCATTCTCTTCACAAACTACTATTGATCCCACACCTCCATACTCAACTGTTTCATCAACATATTTTTCAAACTCTATATCATCCCTTCTCCCTTCATTCATTTCATAATCAGAATCAATAAAGTGTTCCAAAAATTCATGATCACTATCACTTTCTTCTTCTTCATCATCTCTAGAATCCCTATCACTTTCTTCTTCACAGCCTACAACCTAAATTTCTAACTCCCTAGGATTAGCTTCCAAACAATGATTACCCAAAGACTATGTTTCAGAATCAGAAACCAACTCAGTCAACCCACTCCCAATTTTGATAAACAATTTCACCTGTAGATGCAATAACCTAATTCTTCTACTTTTTCCCTTAATGTAATCAACCCCCTCATCCACATTCATGTAGTCCCACCAATCTGTCATACCTCCTACATATTCTGATTTAACTTTTCCTCCATGTCTAATCTTAAGTGTGAATAAATTACTTTCATGCACTCCATCTGTTTGAAGAAAAAAAAAACACACACACACACACAAACACACACACACACACACACACACACACACACACACACACACACACACACACACACACACACACACACACATATATATATATATATATTTACAGAATTGCATACTAAAGTCAAAGCAAATTATAATACATTAGGAAAAAAGCAAAAGCAAATTATAATAATTAGCAGTTAGCAAATAATTAGCAATAACAATTCTGATCACTTCTCAAATAATCCAAACAGAAGCATTTTTAGTTAAATAAGTCAAAATGCATAAGCCAAAATTTCAAACCAAATTGCATAAGCCAAAATGCATTAGCCAAAATTTCAAACGCACGCAACATACCTAAGCCAAAATTTGAAACCAAATCATAAACCACAACTTCATAATTTAAACTACTAACAAGATTTTTTCCAGTAAGTTTCCAGTAACTACTAATGAGTTAAATCCATATAAAAAAACTACTAACAAGATTTTTTTTGGGTATCGTATTTTGGCGTGCATTTGTTTTCAATTCTTCTTCTTGAATCCCCCATGGTGTGTTGCTTCTAGTTCTGCGTTTGCTCCCAGTGCCAGCTGTGTGTAAGTTTGTCGTGTGTTTGTTTCTAGTAAGTTTGCTCTATATTCGCTTCGAATGAGAGAGAGAGGAGGAGGGGGAATTGTATCGGCGGCAAAAGATTGAAAAGAGGGAGAAAAATTTGGAAATGTAATTAATAATTAATTTGATAAAAAAAATAAAAGGAAAATGAAATTACCATATTAACCTTGTTATTAACTGTCAACTAATGGAATCTTTAACAGAGGACTAAAGTGGGTAAAACCATTAAAGTCAGAGACTAAATAGAGTACAAAAAGTCACTTAGGACTAAATTGAGTAAAATCACTATAGTCGAGGACTATATTGGGTATTAACTCTAATAAAAGATGCTATAGTTCTGCATGAAATCTTTTTGACATATTAACTTCTGCAATGAGGGGGAAATCAAAAATTGGTTTGGAACCAATTTGTTTGAACTTGTAAATTGGCTGATAATGATGTGGGACACTGAAGTGATGTTTCCTCTTTGTCAGGTATTCTACAATACAGCACAATACTATTGTGATCACTATGGTCACAAAATCGTGAGTGTCTTCTTCCTAACCTCCTCTACGACTATTAGCTTTTTGTATTTTAGTTACCTTCGTAACAATTTTTTTCTTCTTTTTCTTATTTCTAGGATCCTCGTGTTGTCCTTATTGGTCTTCTTTTGATTCTCTCATCATTTCAATATCTCAATCAATGGACAAGGTATAAGCAGGTAACCACATACCATTCAGGTTCAATCTGCAATTTGGTTGTCATGTTTTTATGTCATTACTTTTAATGGAAAACAGATCTTGATGTGTTGGCATGGAAAAATAAAGAATACACTGTCATGGTTTCTGATTTTGTTTTTCTTCCTAGACTGAAGTACCCTACAAATTGGTGATCCTAAACTACTTTTTTGTTTGCATGCCCTTAATAGAATCACCATCCACATGCAATGTCCTCTTATTCTTAGGGTTAAACACAGATGTTCCTCACATGTCCATCTTGTAACCATTTTTTTCTGCATACACTATTAGAACAATTCTTCACTTAGTGTATACCTACACAGATGATAACCGCAAATTAATTCTTTGATCACATATACCTATACATATGATGACTGCAAATTATTTCTTTGCTATATTTCTTACCGTGTATAAGTTAATAGTTATGCCGAAGTTTAAATCCTAACAGAATAAACCATCTGTTAAGCATTTACTCCACTTAAACAAAGAAAAAGAGAAACGTAGTCTAATGGTGTGGAAATAAGAAATTAATTTATGGGTTCGATCTTAGGCTTCTTCACACCCTTTGAAGATGATGAACAATCTACATTTGTTCTCTTTAAAGACTACTGCTCGGAAGTGCGCTTATCAACCAAGATGACTTCTGGGAGTGACGAAGATGTAGCTTCCAGTGGTGGTATATGCTGGATGAAACTAATTATTAAAAAAAAAGTAGGGTCAAAACAATATTATTGAAGGAGGCAGAAACATGTTTAATGAGGACTTGTTCTAAATTCGCATTGAACTCAGTTTCATCAGCAAGCTTCCTAACCACTGTCCATTCATCACCTTTATTGAGTAGTTTGGCTTGATGTGTCTGCACGATAGCTTCGTCTTTTTTCACTCCAAGCACGGTAAAAGCAGCATTACCACTATATTTAAATTGGTCATTCCATGTGACAATCCTAAACATCATTGTCTTCCCAATCAAGCCTTCAATTTCATTGGGCATACAACCATCCTAGGTCAACCAAAACAGATAAAAAAAATATTATACACGGGATAATAATAATACATTCAAAACTGTATAGTTGATTGCTAAGATATATGGATTCACATACTTCATAATACTTTTCCAACAACTCGCTAGTAGTAACTCCTAACAATGTCGAGCAAACATTGTCCCAAAGTATAAGATGGCCATCTTGGTCGTCATCCAAGACAACAATCACCACTTTGTACTTAATTATTCTGCATAGCCAGTGTTTATCGCATGCCTTACAGTATATTTGGTCTGTATAGTCTTGAAGCTTCCTTCCACACCCCTTACTCTTATAAGCATTGAAGTACCATTCGCCTTCTATGTCTAGAATTTCTCCAAGTACCCAAAATTCTCTGACCTAAAAATTAATTACACAATACGTGAGAAATATAATGAGTGGCTTTTCAAATGATTTCAATATAAACTCTAAACCTGGATTTTTACCTTCTTGTTGTCATAAATATCCTTCAAAGATGTAATTGTGACATTTTCACTCGATAAAGCTTCAAATGATCCAGATCCAGTCATTCTTGAACTTGAGCTTATACTTCGTATTGGAGTCAAGAACCTAGGCATACTGATTTAAACGGGTTACCCAAAATTATCAAACGTGTTTGAAATAAAATATGATACGGAGTGGGAAAAATTGAACTGTCACAATACCTCTCCTTGAAATTGAGGAACTCAGGGCATTCATAGTTAAACAGAATCTTTGTTGCAGTGTAGAAACTGGATATCCTAACCTCACAATCTAATATGATAAACAATTTTAAATAGTTATAATCGAATCAAATAAATTTATGTCTGCCACTGGATATTTACTTTCCTTCATTCACCTTGGCTCTATACAACTGTAGTATAACGATAAGTGGATCTACCAAATCAGCATTAAGTAAGGCAAGACAGAATCCACGTACTCGTCTCACATGGTAATCGTGAGCCGACTCCCCCTGAGTAAAAACGACAATGAACGTGATGACGCCTAAATTTATACTTAAACACATCAAAAGGCCATTTAAACAAATACATATTCAATGACAAAATCAATTAACCTTTGGGAATTTGAATTAACTTGGATAACTTTTGGCTTAGTAATCGAAACTACACGGCCAATCAAATCTGCGAAAACCAAACAAAAGTTTTTTTTTTCTTTTTTTTGAAAGGACCAAACAAAAGACTTTAGATGTTCATTCATGAATATACTATTAGAAATTTAGTATAACAAAAAGAAATGAGAACACATCCAGTATAGAATAAAATTTAAAGAGGAATTTACCAATTAGCCGATTGCTATCCACTCCTCTGGGAGCCTTCAACGATCCAAAATCCTTGAGTTTGAACATGTGTTTGGGAAAATCAGATTCATCTAGATTCGTAACACTAATCAAAGTGTCGTGGTTCGCTTTCATAATGTACTTATGCTTGTACGACTTAAACCTCATGCGACACGTTTGCACAACGAAATTGTGAATATCATAGGCTTCCCATTCCTTCAAGAGTTTGTTGAATTTTACGACAAACTCTTTGGGGATTTGTAAATGGATGCAAGCTCCCCGTGGAAGATCAAGTCATTGTAGAATAGTACATGTAATGAGAAATTAGTGACCATGAAATTTAAAAACCAAGGCAGAAAATATAATGCATTTTAAAATAAGCAATAATTGCATATTAGCCTAGATAAAGTGTTAGGAATATAGTGGAATAATGCGGAAGCAAATAATCAAATTGAGAATTATAAAAGTTAAATAATAGAGAAAATATATAAATGACAAAAGAAATTATGAATAAAGAAAATATATATATTATAACTCAAAAAGGAATTGAGAAGAAATAATAAATATATATATATATATATATATATATATGTATGTATATATATATATATATATATATATTTGTGTGTGTGTGTGTGTCTACGTGAAGACATAAGACAAAAAGAATGAATTACAATTGATGCATTTAATTACAAAGCAAAGCATCCTATTTATACTAAAAAGAAAACGAGAGAAATGCGGCCATGCAGATTGAGTGGGCAAGAGATATGCGGCAAGAACGGGATGCTGCAATTGTACATGGAGACGTGTACACGCATGCGACGCAAACATGGTGAAATGGTCTTGATGCATTAATTTGAGCCACACATAATTTATTTCTTAACAATCTCCACCTTGGATCAAATTCAATGTGGGAATTAACAACTGGAATAGCCGACTAAACTCAAGCACCACTCGATCTTAGCAATAGGAATAACATCAGAATAGTAGGATGGATCACCATCAACCTCCTGTGTGACTGAAAGAGCATAAGCAACCAAGTTGGTTTCATCATCACTAGTATACCTAGTATGTTTTTTAACTGTCCCCCTAACCCGATCCTTAGCAATGGAATACTCTCGTTGTGGCTCAACGAGAGGCGCGGTACTAGTAGATGCATCATCATTAGTATTACCATCAGTGGTAATAATACTATCAATAGGCCTGAACTCAAACTCCACCTTCTCACTAGTATTTTGCGTATCACCTGTACTAGGATCTTTTCTAGAAGAAAGTAATGCATTTTCATCAAAAGTGATATCTCGACTCAGAATGATTTTCTGAGAATCAGGAGACCATAGACGATACCCTTTTGACTCAGAGGCATAACCAAGGAAAATGCATTTGACAGCTCTTGGGTTTAATTTTCCCGTACTGGAATGAGCATATGTAGGACATCCAAAAATTCTTAAGATAGAGTAGTCAACATGATTACCTGACCAAACTTCCTCTGGAATTTTGAAATCGACGGACGAATGTGGAGTTCTATTTACCAAATAGCATGTAGTAGAAACGACATCGACCCAAAAATCACACTGTTTCCATAACCCAGCATTAGAGAGCATACAACAAGCTCTCTCTAACAGAGTCCTGTTCATACGTTCGGCAACACCATTCTGCTGGGGTTTACCACGCAAAGTCTTGTGCCTGCAATTCCATTTGTCACATAGAAGTCGTTGAAATCTGACTCACAGAACTCCAAGCCATTGTTTGTCCTGAGCTTCTTGAATTTTTTCCATGTCTGAGTCTCAACAAGTATTTTCTACTTTTTGAAAATAGAAAATGCTTGATTTTTGTGTTTCAAGAAATAGACCTAGACTTTACGAGAGAAGTCATCAATAACAAACATAATGTAACACCCCCGATTTTACCACATTTTTAAAAACTTAATTTCAAAGGAAAACATCTAATCATCAAGACATAAAGAAAGCGGAAGCTATAAAAAAATCGGTAAGTGTTATGTCACACCTATCTCAAACATAGGTGCACAGGTGGGAAAACAATCAACTCAACAAAACAGTAAACGTCTAGGCACACAAGCCGCTAAACTAGGCACACAGGCCAACAAAAGGTAACGTCTAAACATGGTAGCTACTCTATCTAGCGATCCACATCTAGTGCTCTCAGCACCTACTCAAAACCTGTAGAATCAAGGGATAACACTCGGTCAGCGAATATTGCTGGTAACCCATCAATACGCGTTAAATAACATATATAGATAAATATAATCAAACCATTTGGAACGGGAATACAATATATATCATTT